AAAAAAGTGCACAATATATATTTTCTAGTCTTTTGTTTGTACAGGTTGGCAATGTTTTAGTTTATTAGCTAACCTGTGACTGTACTGACATTGTTTTTTCAAAATTGAGAAGAAAACCTTTCATACCTTCATAGAATTAATGTCATAATAACTTGACAATTTTCATGCATTATAATGCTTCGACTTCATGAATCGACTATGTGTTCTTGAATTAAAAAAAAAAGAGAGCAGTATTTTCATTTTGCATCCTCGTCAGCTCTTACACTCCTAGAAGAATTTAATATGCACTTTATTGATAATATGCAAGTAATTTGCTTCAAAAGGACAACCTTTCTTTCTCTATCTTTAAAATGGCAATACTGTTCTGAGTTACCTATGAGTCCTGCCTTTTGGTTTTCTTCTTCTGCTTCCTTTTTTCGTAAGGAGGGCACTATCTTCTGATTGGATAGGATATATAAGTCTAACAGTTGATATTTTATATTTAATTTTAGTCTATAATGCCTGCATTTATTTTTGCTCATGTTCAAGTTCGGGGCTTCAAAAGTCATTATTTTTTACGGGTAGTAATTTTTTCTTTACTGTCTATAAAAACTTAGAGGAGGGCTACATCGTATTCTGTAAACTCTCATAGTACTGAAGAAGAACCTTGACGTTTCAAACTGTGCCCTCCAGGGTGGCAATTGGTTTTATCCTTGTGAGGCTGCTCACTTATTTATCCGTCTGCAAACATGTTTGATCGTCAAATTCAGTGGAAGGCTTTATGTCAACATTTCAGGACTGTCCTTGTGAGCTGCCTAAGATTGAAATATTCTTTTTTTCGTTTTGCTCTGTGATCAGTTAATCTCGATCATTGGATTTGGGATAAATTGGCATTTGAGTAGAATATGAAGTCACAGTATTACGTTTGTTCATACGTATTTGTTTAGAGTAAGTACTTTACCTTTGTAAACATTCATCACTTTCATTTTTATTCATCATAAGGTTAGATATTATTTTTTGTTTATACAAATTTAAATAAACTGTTCTTTAATTTATTACTGAATTTATTTGAAAGCCTAAGCATGGTTAGAGAGTTAAACAATAGACAAAAAACAAATTAAACACAAGGAATTTCCTTTTTTCCATCTCACCGTGACTGCATTTGCGTATTGAAATAATAAGTACGTATTGCACAATGTATTGTACAATTGTACAGTTTAGCCAGGAAGATATTGATTTAACAAAAACATTTAGAAATATTTTAATTATGATATTACTGAAAGTTGTTATTTCTCTTTGCTAATAAGTGTTCTTACTGTATGGTGTGAATTATCTGCAGTGTACAACTCTGGACTCTCAGGGCCGCTGTTGGCTAATGTAGAGCCATCCTCTTTCATTTGATACAATAAACAGAGAAGGAAAAGCACACTTCAGTACAAAACCGTCAGTGAAGAAAAACGGACACAACTGCGCTGCGACCCATATCTGTCAGGTTCAGGATTATCAATTTAACTGAAATTTTTCGTCACGAAGGAAACTAATCACTTTTTATCAAATCCGCCTTTGGATCATCAGTATTTGGCGAGGATAAAATGTCGTGCAGAACAATGAGATGGCAAGTATTGTGGTTTACATCGATATTGTCCTTCAGCTCGGTGGTCGGCCAAGTAACTTACTCCATCCCCGAGGAAATGTCAAAGGGTTCCTTAGTCGGAAATATAGCTCATGATTTAGGGATTGACGTAAAAAGACTTAAATCCGGTAAAGCTCGCATATATACAGAGGACAATGCAGAATACGTCGAGCTGAACAGGGAGAGAGGAGTCCTGCTCGTTAAAGAACGAATCGACAGAGAGACGCTCTGCGGACAGACCACACCGTGTGCTTTACATCTGCAGATTACACTGGAAGACCCGATTGAATTTTTTACAGTTACAGTCGAAATTAATGATATCAATGACAATACACCGAGCTTCAAAAAGGATGAAATGAAATTTAGAATCAGCGAGTCGGCTGTGATTGGAGCCAAATTTGTGCTAGAGAGGGCGATGGATCTGGATGTCGGTGTGAACGGATTACAGAGTTATTCCCTAAAGCCCACAGATAATTTTCATTTAAAACTTCACGACCAGCAAGATGGCAGCAAAAAGGTGGAGATGGTCTTAAAAAAGCACCTGGACAGAGAGACAAAAGAGCACATATCTTTAACTCTCACAGCTTCTGATGGCGGTGAGCCTCGGCTGTCGGGAACAATGCGAGTGGAAATCTCCGTCCTAGATGTTAATGATAACGCTCCGGTATTTACGCAGGAAGCCTATAAGATTTCTATAATAGAGTCTGCTCCAAAAAGTACAATTCTTAGTACGGTTAGTGCTTTAGATGCAGATGAAGGTTCAAATGGAAAAGTGTTGTATTCAATAACAAACACGTTGGACGATGTCCCTGTCATGTTTCACATAGGCGAAGAAAGTGGTGTTGTAACATTGACTGGAAGCCTCGATTATGAAAAAACACAGAGTTATGTAATACACGTTCAAGCAAGTGATGATGGAGGCCTGACAGATTCGTGTAAAATTATTGTTGATGTGAGCGATACGAACGACAACCGTCCATCTATTAATATTATGTCTAAAACCAATTCAATATCAGAAAATTCTAATACAGGCACAGTGGTAACAATTTTTAATGTTCAAGATCCCGATTCAAGAGAAAATGGTAAAGTTTCCTGTAGTATAGATGAACATGATCCTTTTTTAATGAAAGCAACGTCAAAAAAAATTTTCAGCTTGCTGACAGACAGTGAATTAGACAGAGAGAGAGCCTCTGAGTATAACATCACAGTGACCTGTTCTGATGAAGGAGTCCCCTCCCTCTCCAGCAGCGTCACTCTCACCTTACAGATCTCTGATGTGAATGACAACGCACCTGTCTTTGAGAGGAGCTCCTATGAGGCCTACATGCTAGAAAACAA